GGAGGGAAGCGGGCTGGGGGGGGGCGGGGTTTAAGTGCGGGGCTGGGTCTCTGTGCTCCTATGAACAGTACTTCGGCGCCGGCACCAGGCTCACGGTCGTAGGTAAGAATCGGACTTCTCTCCGCCCTCCCGCCCCAGCCCCTGGGGCTCTGGAGAAGGGTGGAGGCCGGAGCTGGGGCGCCGCGAGTTGTCCGTGGGTAGGGTTGGCTCTGTGAAGGGGGGATAGGAATGGGGGGGGGGCTCCAGGTCCGAAAACATGGGCAGAGTGTAAAGGGGTCTTTGGGTCTGTTTTTCTGGGGTATTTAGGGGCAGGGTGGGCGGTGGAGAAGAGGATTCTTTGAGCTCTGAGAGCTGCTAGATGGCAGAAAAAGACTGAGACTAGAAAACCTGGGCTGGGGAAAGGGCGGGAGGGGAAACTGCTCCACCGGGGAGAGAGCTGTGGGGGGCAGGAGAAAGTGGGATGAGCGCGGATGGCCGGCCCCCTGCAGACCTGGCTCCTGGGAGGTGGAGGTGGAGGGTGCCGGGGACAGAGGAGGGGAAAGGATGACAAACAGTGGAAGAGAGAGACCAAGATGATAGAGACAGAGAAACATGAGTCAGTGAGGAAAAGAGCCAAAACAAGCCGGGTTTCCTGATTGGATTTAGAAGTGTGGACTTGAGATTAAATTGAAAACCCTTTCTGTCTCTCCTAAGCCTCAGACCCCTGGGGTGGGGTGGGGGGTGGTAGGGGGAGGCAGCACCCAGTCCTGCCACGGCTGGTCCTAGAGGAGGGACAGTAACCTCAGCCAACTGAGGTGCATTTACCCCCAGATGGGTCCCCTCTCCCCCAGTCTGCAATCACTGTCCTCACACTAAGTACTCTACATAACAGTCTAGGGCAGTGGTTCTCAACCTTGGCTGCACATTAGAATCACCTGGGAATCTTTTTAAAATCCGGATTTCTGGGCTTCATCCTCCGGAAATTCTGTTTCTTTGTTACTAATGTTGTGGCCTCACCCCATAACAAAGATGGTGTGGAAGCTTATTTATCACAAACACAATAACTGCAGATATTTTGCTGTGAGGTGAGGAAAATTCCCAGGAGGATCTTGGACTCTTAGAGCTGCAAAGGGACCCTAGATGTCACCTGGTGATGAGAATGTTGAGGCCAGAGAGGGAAAAACTCTTTACCTGGATTATGTGATAACCACGAGCACTGTTGGTAGTTAAATTCATTGGGCTGGAGCCAATGGGGCTCAGCTGAGCTGCCCAGAGGAAACGCTGGCTACGGGTGATCAGCCAGGGTGGAGAACAGACCTTGACTTTCGAGCCAGTAAACCCAGGTCTCAAGCCCTGGCTCTCTAATGATTGGTGACCTTGGGCATGTGTATCTGTGTGACCCTCAATTCCCTCTAATATACAATATCATCAGCAAAGCCTACCACTTACTATCATTGTGAGGATCCCAAGGGAAGGCTCTTGTAGAGTGTTCAGCAAAGGGTGGATTGCTGTAATTCAGTGCTTCCCTTCCCCACCCCTACTCGCTTGATCACTGGGGAGGGCGGGAGGGGGTGAACCCAGTGTCCTAGGAGGGGCAGGATTTGGCCTGTGGATAATGGAGTGAGGGCTGTGAGAGGTGGGTTAGGAACAGGGAAGATAAACCTCGCCATGCACAAGCAGAGCATACACACACAGAAGCTCGTTAGCACGCACACCTACATACATCTGGGCAAGCTACTCACACCTTACAGGGACTCACAAACATGGAGGGATAAGACCTGCCCCCACTGCAGGCTGTATAGACAGTGCTTCAGAGTCACCAGATCCTGCTTCTGCTCGTGCTGCTCATCACACCATGGGGAGCCTCACACATGGCTCAGAGGACATCTTTCATTTTGACACTAAGCACTGATAGTTTGCCAGGTGAGGGGTCAGAGGAGTGCATCTGTGGTTACCCTGGAGGCAGGGGCTTGGAGATGAGAGCTAAGTAACCTGGCTGTGGGCAGAAAGGCTGATGGAGCCGGTACTGCATGTTTTAGGATGTGGCCACTTCACACAGGGTGGGCTAGTGAAGACCTAGGGACTTGGTAGCGGTTAGCAGGGAAGAGGTCCAGGGCAGGGAGCTGACATGACAGGACACAGGCTGGCTCAAAGTGAAAATGTGGGGACACCTGTTAAAAAATTATTTAGAATTTCAAAATGGTGGCAGCAGCCATTAAACCAAGTGTGTGGTCCTTCTAAGTGTGGGGTCCTGTGTGACCTGTGGATGTGACCCCATTTTGGCAGAAGTATGACATCTCTGTTAGAAGGGCATTCCTCCATCTTCCAGGCAGAACTATATTTTCATGAGAATGAGATTTCTTAATTTTAAGAAATTGCCAAGAAACAAACACAACGAATGGAAAACAGGATAAAATAAATGGGGAATGGCCCAGAAGGAATAAGCCCACCAATAGAAGGCCTTCGCCTGTGGCCTGGAGGACGCTGCAGACAGGCTTAGGACAAATTGTATCATGACAACTGGGAGCAAGAAGTTGCTCCGATGCTCTCAGATGCTCATTTAGGAAGCTTGCTGGTGGGAAAGATGCAACAGGTGGAAACAAAGGGGCAGAGAAGTTTGGAGAATCACTGAGTTGGACATAAGGGGAGACTGCTCTCTGTCTGAGCTGAGGAAAACTCCGGGGTACTTGGAGGTGGCGGAATGGCTTGAATGACTTCATGAACCATAAAAAAATGCCAGGAAACCCCAAAGCTCATGGGCATGTCATGATACAAAAGGGTGTCCTCACCTCAATGCACAAAAATGTGCCATTTGTACACTGTCATCTGAAGACAATCCCAGCTCCCAAATGATCCCCTTGTCCCCAGATCCCCTTTCCTCAGCCACTTAGATTCAGATATTAATAACCCAACTGAGGACTATGTGTCTGAATTGTTATATCATTTAATCTCCACACACACCCTGAACAGTCTGTGTTGTGATTCTCCCTTCAGAGCAGGAAAAATGATGCCGAAGTCCTAAAGTCATTTCTGAGATTTGGATCCTGTTATTTGGATTCCAATCCAGTGCTCTATTTAAATAATTACTAAGTAATATGGTGAGACGTAGACAGGTAGCTTTTATTGAGGGGAAGAAATCAAATAACATACTCAGAACATTAGGCAGTGCCATTTATCATGCCACCTTAGGGGATGGAGAGACAGTAGATGGTGATACCCAAACAAACAGGACCTACTACATAATTTTGCTTTATGATGACCTTTCTTCTCATCATACACACACATGCACATGCATGCACACACAGCCCCTACCAAACCTAGACAGCTCTCAGACCAGCCCTATTCCTAACCCCTCTCCCCTTCCAGAGGACCTGAACAAGGTGAAACCTCCCACGGTCACTGTGTTTGAACCATCCGAAGCAGAGATCTCCCGGACACAGAAGGCCACGCTTGTGTGCCTGGCCACAGGCTTCTACCCCGACCACGTGGAGCTGAGCTGGTGGGTGAATGGGAAGGAGATCCAGAGTGGGGTCAGCACAGACCCTCAGCCCTACAAGGAGCAGAGCAACATCAATGACTCCACCTACTGTCTGAGCAGCCGGCTGAGGGTCTCTGCCACCTTCTGGCACAATCCTCGCAACCACTTCCGCTGCCAAGTCCAGTTCTTTGGGCTAGAGGAAGAAGACAGGAAGAATTGGAAGGACACCCGCCCCATACCCATCACCCAGAATGTCAGCGCTGAGGTCTGGGGCAGAGCAGGTGAGTGGAGCCTTGGAGGGTCAGGCAAGTAGTGAGTCAGACCAGAGAGAAAGGGGCATCCAGGTAGAAGGCCACAAAGACCAGGTTAGACATTTTTTTTAAAGGAGTGGGGTGGGAAGATGAGAGCACACCATGAAGAAGAACAGGCACCTTGGGCTAGTTCCTCCTCAGATCCCCAGCCAGCACAGCCTTGCAGCTGGGCCCCTTACTACTGGCCTGGGTGGCTCAGCATCTGTGTGGTGTGTCCCCATTCCCTTCAGAGCTGCCACGTGTGTCTCATAAATTTCAAGGACGATGTGTCTATACTGGCACACAGGAAGGCAGTGCTAGACTCCTCTGGTCTGGGCCTGAAGTGTGCTGACCACAAGGCTGACAGTGTTTCATCTGCTCATTCATTCCCCTCTCTCTTCTTTCTTTCAGATTGTGGCTTCACCTCAGGTAAGTGACCCTCTGCTTCTTTCTCTCCTTCTCCCATGGTCTTTGGAACCAGAGGATGGAGGACCCATGACTCTGGGGGAGGGGGGGCAGAGATACCTGCTTAAAAGTGCATACCTGCTCTCCTTTCCTACCAACAGAGTCCTATCAGCAAGGGGTCTTGTCTGCCACCATCCTCTATGAGATACTGCTGGGGAAGGCCACTGTGTATGCGGTGCTGGTCAGCACCTTGGTGCTGATGGCCATGGTAAGGAGGAGGGTAGGGTAGACAGGCAGGGTGGAGGGAGAGGGTGAAACATCACCCATGGGATAGGAGGGGATCTCAGAGCCTGACCTCAGCCCTTTCACCTCCAGGGAATTATAACTGGACTGCCAGTTCTGGGCAGAAAGTATAGGGATCATTATAGAATGCAGCATTGGAGGATGGGGAGAATCAGACTGCCCTACCCAAAATTGGGGCCAGAGTTGGCCTCCTCTGACCCACTCCTACTGTTCATGGCCCCTGGGACCCTGACAGTGTTCTCTCTTCTGCAGCTCAAGAAAAAGGATTCCTGAGACCAGTTCCAGATGCCCATCCTCAGACATTTTTAATCCAAACCCTAGGTTCACCTTCACATGCTTCCAGTCTGTGTTCCCAATGAGGTATTCTCTCCTCGCCCTCTTATCTCCTACCTATATGAGTATCTGTCCCTTCTCTCTGCTGCCCTGCAGACTGAGCTCCTCAATACTGAATCTGAGATAAACTAAACCAATAAAAATATTGTGCTGGACTTGGTAGTGTTTCATGAGTGTCTATGGAGTTCTGCCCTTCAAAGACCCACCTTCTGGTTGAGGAAAGCACCACCTCTCAGGCATATGGAGTGACGGACTCTCCTCTCTGACCAGTGCTGCTTCCTCCTGTTCATCCTGGTGGGGGGTGGACGTTATAGTCCATAACCAGGCATTCTGTGCCCCAGTACATAGGGTTAGTCTGAGGGGTAAGGTGCTATGCTCTTGAAAAAGGATGAGCACAGGTAAGAACCTCAGTACAAGACAGAAGACAGGACATACCTGTGGGTTAGAAAGCCCAGTCATTTCTCAATTCCAGATTCAAGTTTCATTTATTATGCATTCAGGTTTTATCTGTGTCTGTTAACACCTCCATCTTATCTTATTTCTGGACTTCAGCACAAGATTTATTTAGCTCTATTCTGCATGTCTAGGTTAGAATCCTAAGGAAAGCACAGAGTTAAAAATGCTGACACGTGAAACCTAATTTCCTAGAGGCAGGACACATGGGGTCAGGCCCTGGGGGAGAAATAGGGACAGGAAGCAGGGTTCAGTGGGGCTGAGGTGCTATAGCCACATAGCCCTTCCAATGGGCAACTTCACCTGAAGGGATGGAGACCAGGCCACCCCAAATACAGCACAGTGAGTGCACCCACTTGGGTGGACGGTTACCTTACTCAGTAAACTCTACATGAAGGTTGCATTTACTGCACTAGAGGAGGGGGAGCAATTAGAGAAAAGAAGGCAGAGATGGAGGGAGAGAGTTCATGTGTAAGTTATTTGAGGCCAAATGTCAGTGGTAAGAAGGAAGTCTGAAAGCTAAGAAAGGGTGGTGAAGATGAAGTCCCTATTGATGCCCTGCCTGACTTCAGACTGGGGGCTGGGTATTGGCCCACGTGTTGTCCCAGTTTCCCTCACAACAACCCTAGAAGCAGGTATTAGTCTCCCCACTTCACAGGTAAGGAAACCACAGTCCAGAAATCAACTGACTGGTAAGCTGGGAAACACTGGCACGTTCTGCTAAAGATTCAGGAAACATTTCCAAGTCAACACTAGGATGGTGTGATAGGCACACGGTGACACTGGAGCAGCTGCTCCCAAACTCTGATGCAGGACCCACGGCAAGAGTGTGAAGAGACCTTGAGTCCTGCATGTATTTGTTTTCCAGTGCTGCTGTAACAAAGAACCACAACCTTGATGATTTAAAACAAAATTTATTCTCTCATAGCCCTGGAGCCATAAATCCACAATCAAGGTGTCAGTAGGGCAGCACTCCCTTCAAAAATTCTAGGGGAGCCCAGCCAGTGGCCAATGTTGCTCAGTGGTTGAGCATCGACCTATGAACCAGGAGGTCATGGTTCAATTCCTGGTCAGGGCACATGCCCAGGTTGTAGGCTTAATCCCCAGTGTGGGGCATGCAGGAGGCAGCCAATCAATGATTCTCTTTCATCATTGACGTTTCAACTTTCTCTCCATCTCCCTTTCTCACTGACATCAAATATAAAAAGTTCTAGGGGAGAATTGTTTCTTGCTTCTTCCCATTCCTAGGATTGTGGCAGCCTCATTTCAACCTTCTGTCTACCTTCATCACTTTCTTCCCTGTGTCTCTGTGTCTAAGTGTTCCTCTCCTTTTTCTTACTGAGGCAGAAGTTATTGGATTTAGGACACACCCTAACTTCAGAAGAATTTCATCCTGAGATCCTTAACATTTATATCTGCAAAAACCTTATTTCCAAATTAGGTTCCATTGGGTTGGCACAAATTAAGGGTGGACGCTATTCACCCCACTGCACTGAGTGTCTAGGAACTGGAGGTGAGAGGGTTTTCTGAATCATCTCACATAGGTCAGAAAAGGATGTGGCCCAGGGCAGGGCTGGCCTAGAAAAATCACCACATGACTATAAGTTCCCATCAGTCACAATAATCTCTAGGTTGCTCTAATTTCAGTACAGTTTTGTTCTTATTGTTGTTGCTTATTTGTTTTTCTAATGGCTAAAAAAAGTCCCAATACAAAAGAGACAGAGTTTAGGTCCTAGACCAGCACCCACAAAAGCAGCACCTTCCATTCTTTAGGCATGTGTGGTGGTTCCTCTCAAGGGTGGGATGGGAAGATGAGCTGCTGAAGGGGTAGTCAATGCCTCAGAGAGAATAGGGCATTGCGTGGGCCAGAGGGAATGGACTGGGACATGAGTGTTGAGAGATGGGGTATTGAGGGATGAGGGCGTTGGGGATGGGGTATTGTGGGACTGTATGTTGGGGGATAGAGGTGTTGGGGGATGAGGTGTAGGGGGAATGGGGTATTGGGAACAGATTGTTGGGGGACAAGGGCTTGTTCCAGCAGAGCTGTGAGGAGGGAGCTGAGCAAAAGTAGGGCAAACATCAAGGTGGAGGTGGGTTACCCTCACAGAAGAGAAATGGGGTCTGTGGGCTTGGTGATTGTCATCTTGGGGGTGCTAAAAGCAGAGGCATCAGCAGGTGGGAGGATGTGGGAGAAGTTGCTGGTTAGCATCTGTGGCTTGTCAAGGTGAGGAAGGAAGGAATGGCCTCTGAAGGATGAATGACTCAATGACAGAGACATAATAGAGGTGGAGAAAGTTACAAACTTCATCTGGTTCCCACCCAACATGCCACTTGACCCAAGGAAGGCTCCTTTCTTCAAATCTTCACAGCCATGGAGAATTAGTACTTGAAACCTCTCTTGAAGCTCATGTGTACAGCAAGGATGTCTCTCAGACAACACAGCCCCCAACATTCCACACCCAGACACTGGGAAGTTATTTTATTCTGCATCTGCCTCTTTCTCTAGAATCTAAGTGGGTCCTTCTGGACCAATTCTGGGCATGCCATCCATTCTTCCTCAGGTGAAACTGAGCACAGATAGGTTAAATACAGGGCAGTCATCTCATTTATTGCACAAATGGGGATATTATTGAGAGGAAAATGGGATGCTGGGATAAGAGGGATAAATCAGGACTGTCCTCATAAGTGCCCAGGACACATGGACACTCCAGTAAAAGAGACCCCCAGGAGGTTTCTGGGCCCAGAGGTATTCCTGGAATGAAAGGCATTAAAGCAATTCCTCATCTACTTGGGCCTATCAAGCTGTTCCAACCTCAGGCTAATCTAAGCTTCATCCCATTAAGAAAATCTGTGGGCAGAATGTAGTCTAGGCATAAACTTCACAAGTGACATCCAGTTCAGGAGTAGAGCTTGATTATTGATTGAAGAGACTTGAAGTCAAGCATCTCTAGAAGAATGCCCAGGATCCCCCAAGTTATCACCATTCCATGGGGCACAACTGGACTCACCATGGTAGTACCCCAGGAGAGGAACCTCAACCCTGTAGACTTTAGAAATTTATTCAGAAATTAGGAGACAGGAGGAATTCAACTGGTCATGTAATAATGGAAACATCCTGGTGTGTGTGTGTGTTGGGGGGGGGGCGTTGCGGGGATTGGGATTCCTATGGGGAGAGGCTAGTCAAGTCACTGTCACTTGTCCAAAAGAAGGATTTTCCTGTCAGCATCAGTATCCGCCAGAGACCTGCAACTCTTCCTACTGCACAGCTCATGGCCAGGATGCATAAGCTTGGGCAGTGGTAATGGGGTTAGAAGAGGTTGGGCCCATCCAGAGACAAAGACTTTTTCTCTCTTAAGTAAGTGATTAAGTGATTAAGGAAGAGTGGGTAAGAGAAAGAAAAAAAAGGATTTTGATGATTATATAAAGAAGAAGTGGTACATATATACAATGGAATATGACTCAACCATAAAAAAGAATGAAATCTTACCATTTGTGACAACATGGCAACATGGATGGATGTAGAGGGTATTCTGCTAAGAAAAATTTGTCAGACAGAGAAAGACAAATGCTATAGAATTTCACTTATATGTGGAATCAAAAAAACAACAACAACAACCCACACGAAAAAAATTAACAAACAAAATAGAAACAAACTCACAGATACAGAGAGCAAATTGATGATCTCCAGATGGGAGGAGCATTGGAGGTGTGGGTAAAAAAAAATGTTGAAAGGGATTAAGAAGTACAAATCACCAGTTATAAAAATAGTCATGGGGATGTAAAGTACAGCATAGGGAATATAGTCAATAATACTGTAATATCTGTGTATGGTGTCAGATGGGTATGAGACTTCTCGCAGTGATCACTTCATAAGTTATATAAATGTATAATCACTGTAAACTAATATAATATTGTATGTCAATTATAATTGAAAAATTTAGAAAAAAGAGGAAGGATTCTGGAACAATAGAGGTTGGGATAAGAGTAAGGGATCCTGATAGATACTAATCTCTCCATTTCCTGTCCTGAGCCATTTCCCCATCTTCCTCCTCCCATGTGCCCCAGAGAATGGCAGCCCAGTGACCTCAGCCCAAGCAGTCTATGTAACACACAGCTTCGAATGTCCCATAGAGGAGAAACTTCATGAGGTCTTTTTTCTTAGGGATGGATGTGGGAATGGAGAATTGGTACTTGAGACCTCCCTTAAAGCTATCTGTGTACAACAAAAACATGCTCATACCTAGAGGTATTACATTTAAGGCTGTTAAGAGATGTTGATGGAGATCTCTGGAATGGCTAAGAACCCCATGTCAGTTTTAGCATTGCCACTGACCCATGGATGAATCAGTCATCTGCAGCCCCACTGACCTCTGCTTAAACTTTCATCACCAAGTTCCCTTTTATAATGTTCATGTGGAAATCACCCTATGCCATATAGACTGACAGTATAGAAGGCCACCAAGCCTGGGCAATTTTAATTACAATTAATTCTCATTATTTGTGGCAAACTCCCATCCTTTCAAAAAGGTAATTTCTGGGCCCTGACACCCCACAATGTGAGACATCATCCATCCATCTGGGCCGGGAGCACAAAGCGCTTCCTGCCTTAATGTAGGGTCAGACATCCTCCCCTCCCATCTGGAGGACTTTCTTCTCTTGCACTGTGTTTATGGACCTGAAGTCCCTGGGTTCTTAACATGCC